TTTCACATTTTATCCTACTTTGATTAAAATTTAGAGCTTACAGTAGGGCAGATAAAACTGCTTTAGAGGCTGGGTATGGTACAATTTCCTCCATTTCTGGTGTAACTGGGACTTCTATCTTCTGTTCCCTTACAGGTGGCTAAAGGGATAATTTCTTTTATCTCTACCCACTGAGGCCTCATGAATGAATGGAGAACCTTTCAAAGCCCCTACGGACATTGCGCATGGATTCTATAGGTTCAAGCATCATGTAGGGGAAGATATGGAACGACACCCCCACCCACCCACCTTGTGGCAAGGCTACGATCACTGGAGTGATTTGGACGAGCCCGCTGCTCGCCTCGTCACGACAGAAGACGACGAGGAGCAGGGCCCTCTTGAGTTTTACTTTCTGCACAAAGACTTCTCGCACCTCAGGGTAAACTGCACAAATGTAAATCAGAAGACACGACACGCATTCCGCTAACAGGATTTTGAGCCATAAAAGAAAGCGCACGCACGGAAACATAAAGATACGGGACAGGAAACAGCGAGAAGTATGTTGGGGTAGTGGAAGGGAGACTCAGAGCCGTGGAACGCAAAGGCCGTGCCCTTCTCGAAACTAGCAGAAGGAACGGCTTGCATTCTGGCCAGGAGTCAAATCTGCAGGAAGCAGGTGGCGATTCACTGCGCAGGATCTTGGAGGTGGTGGAACAGAGAACCCCACCCTCTTGATGTCCAGGCTTATACTTAACCACAGACTTGGCCACCTCTTAGCAAGCAAAAATCCATGTGTGCTTATGTTGGGGGTGAGATCTTTTGGTGGCGTTTTGTTTTAGGAAAGGAGAGGTGGGAGGAAAACCTTTGGCGCTTGATGCTACTTGAAAATACTAATTTAGATAGGTCCAAGGTAGCCAGGCTGGGCTGCTGGAAATGGGTGGACTAGTCAGCCTAGTCTAAAGATCTTTTATATATCTATATTCTGGCACAATGTGCCTCTAAATGCTCCTGGCTAGAATCACGATGGGAAAGGAAAATAGCAATACTTAAGAGGGGGGATAAGCCATAGTTAAGGGGCTGGAGCACAGCTCTTGCACCCAAAAAATTCAACCTCAGTTTTGCACATTAAAACATCCTTGGGATAAAAAGCCCTTTTATGGCCAGGGCTTTGGATATTTGCTGCCAGGTTTTGTAGGACTAAGGCGGCCAACGTTCAGATGATGTAAATCTGCATGAGAAGTTCTCAAACATTGGTTTTGCCAGGAAAGCAGGAGTGGTCTCAGGAACACTTGATGGAAACTCCGAATATTCACTGCCAAAGGCAAACGACCAGCCTTCCTCCACTTGGTAAATAAGCTGAATTGAAACGCCCAGGAATATCTACCAGCCAACTCAGGATACAGGCTGGCCCGGGGATTCTGGGAGCTGCAGTCCAATCATCAGACAGGTGGTTGGGAAAGGCTGCTGTCAACGAGGTGTAGACAATGGTCACCATCTAGGTGTTCTTCTGGACTCCCAAGTCCATAATCCATCACTGTTGGTTGTGCTGGCAAGGCTCTGCAGTTTTCTACCACAAATACATGGATGCCTACATTCTGCTAAAGCTCTCACCATCTTCTGCTGTTGGTCACATTGGGTGGGACTGAGATTCTAAAACATCTGGAGTGAAAAAGCTTCTCCGTCAGTGCCAGAGAGGATGTATGAATGGAACCAAGCTAGGGGTGGGTTGTAGCTTTTCACAGCCCTGCTCTGTTGGGAACCAGTTGCCACTGTAGGTGTGCACTCCTGTGGGGGAAAGCCTCGTGAGGACCGCCAGTCTGCACCCCGAGAAGGTGATCATCTCAGTATACAGTAAAGATTGTTAAGGACAATTCTGTTCTTGTCTAGCAGAGGAAAAAAAATAAGCCACATGGTTCAGTTCTGTGTAGCCCATGGGGTTCTGCTGATTTCAGCTCAACAGTGCTCTTCCAGCCTCAAAGATAAACAAAAAAAGTCATGCAATCTAACTCTTAAACTTCCAGGAAAAAAGAAATTCAGATCAATAAAATGCATTTCTGTGTAAACACTGGCACGGCTGGCAATCCAAGAGAGAAGCTAAAGATACAGCTGGGATTGGGATGATCAATTATAATGAAAGGCACTTTATTTTGCTTTCTCAGAGAAATAGGATCTTCCAGAACATCCTAACTGGCACGCGCAACATTTTGGGTGGAGTGGAGATGCGTAACGCAAAAGATGGAGGGACGAAGACAAACTGAACAGCTGCTTAGATATTTTGGGCGAGGAACCTGCAGCCCTCCGGCTGTTTATGGACTCCGACTCCCATCAGTCCCAGTGGGCCTCGCTAGCTGCAAGACATGATGGGCATTGTCAGCAACAGCTGGAAAGTCATAGGCTTCCCAAGTAGTTGTGGATAAGGAGAAGAGGCAACAGTGGCTATGTAGGTCCACCGTCTAGGTCAGAATCTGGGAAGGGTTTCTTGTTCCAGCCTTGGGTCCCCAGATGTTCTTGACCACCCTCTAGGTCAGAATCTGGGAAGGGTTTTCTTGTTCCAGCCTTGGGTACCCATATGTTCTTGGACTTAAGACTCCCAGAAGCTTTCACCACTAGCTGTGGAGCTAGGATTTTGGGGACCTGTGGTCCATGAACATCTGCAGCCCCAAGCAGACCACACACCTAGTGGCTTCTGCCAAAACCCCACCGCTTACTTGGACCCAAGCCCGCAAGGTTGTTTTGAATTGGATACAAGGATGATGGGCCTTTTAAAAAGATGTTTGCATTTTGAGCTTCCGAGTTACAAGCAATGATAAGTTTGATACCCCGCCATCTTTTCTGAGAAGCACAACTGGACTCTGGAGTATCTATACCTTACTGGACTGAACATGATTTACTTGGCAGAGATGGCATCATCCTAAGGTTGCCAGCTTTTCCCCCCTGACAGGGCTTCTGTACCTTTGACAGCTGAATGTCCAACAAGTCCTCAATGCTGCTATGGAAAGAGTGCTGAAGAGAAGCTTCACCTGTCAAAATCAGCCTCTTGTACGGACTCAAGGGCTTTGCCAGGAACAAGGCACAGAACATGTGGGAGTAATAAAGGTGTAGCACTGTCACTCTAAAGGTCAAATCAACGTTAGTTTCCATAGGAGAAAAAGACACCACAGTGTATCCAGGTTAAGTTAGCTGAACTTCATGACCACTGAATTCAACAGGACTTTCAGCCAACACCCCCCCATGGGCAGTGGTGGTTAAACTGCAGTACAGCAGCCAAGCCTCTGCTCGTGACCCGAGTTTGATCCGGAAGGGTTCAGGTAACCGGCTTAAGGTTGGCTCACATTTCTATCCTTCTGAGGTCAGTAAAAGGATAGAAATCTGAGCCAACCTTAAGCTGAATTACCTGAACCCCCCAGCTTGCGGGGGGCGGATCTCAAATGGTTGTTTGTATAATTATGTTGTAAACTGCCCAGAGAGGGTTTTAGCACTATGGAGTGATATATAAGTCGAAACCACAATAACTCAAGAATAAACTGCTGATTTTTCAACATGGTCCAAGTCCGAAAACTGATTGTTCGAGAGAAAAATGCAGACGTGCCTTTTTATGACTGCACACTACAATATGCATTGTTTGAGGCGTGCAATTAAAGGTATGTGTATAGCTCTCAACTTGATCCCATGCAGGTATGCGGAGACCGGAGGGAGAAAAATTTCTGGGAGTTTTCATCCAAGAACATTTGGGACCACCTTCCACACAACTGACTCATCCAAGACTGCATTTATGGGGTGCAGCTGTATCCATATGATACCACTGGAAGTCTACCCCAGGAAGTCCTAAGATCTGTAGCTTGGCAAGGTATATAGGCCTTCTCAGTTAGAAAGGTTTAGCCATTTTCCTGAACTCTAGAAGAGGCCTATACCAGAAAGGAGAGTTAAACCTTCTGTTTCAACCTCTGATGGGGTGGGTGGATGGGAAGCGGATGATTGAAAGTGTGGCAGCTTCTGTATACAATGTTCAGTCCTTCCTCCCCTAACATCCTGCTAGGCAGAAAAAGGATCCATAGAGAGAATAAAGGGTGACGCTGGATTCAAAGTAAGCCCAAACTACAGCACCCCCCCCTTTATCCATTGGGATCAGCTGAATCACTCACCCATGGTCTGAAAATATTAGAAGAAAAAAACTATATTCATGAAATTATCAGTAGATGGAGCCAGACAGCATGCTATGTATAGCATTCACTTAAAATAGTGTTCCATGTTTTTCAGCACGGAGGGGGGCTTTGGTCTCCTGCAGATACGGGGATCTGACTGTAATGTGAGCCACAGCAATATGACCTCATGAAATGGAAGCATCTGACACAGTCCCTGTATCCTGCCCTGCTCTAGGATTCACATCTCCTAAAACAGTGCTTGTTGCCTCTATTTTTTCCCCAAGTACTTGTCTTAGGAATAAGATTAAATCATACAAATATGTCAACTAAGCAGTGGCTGGACTCCTTGAGGAGATCTATTTTGGTTGCTTCCCATGGTTTGAAGCCAAGTCCTCTACTGACGAAGCAGCCGTGAGGGGCAGTGGGTAGGATGCTAGACGAGAATGCAAGAGAACGGGGGTTCAATTTCCACTGAGCTGTCAAAACCCACTGATGAGTGATAAAGGAAAACCATTACTTGACCATCTCACGTAAGCTCGGGGTTCAAGTTCCATTGAGCTGTCAAAACCCATTGATGAGTGAGTGATAAAGGTAAACCATTACTTGACCATCTCACGTAAGCTGAGAACTCTATAAGGGTCGCCATGAAAGTGGAAGGGACTTGATGGCACTTAACATGACAACTGACCGAACAGCGTACTCCTAGAAGGATCACAAACACCTTTCTAAGCCACACTTCACACTTCGGCTTTGTTCATCTCAAGGATGGGCAATGTATGGCTTTCCTGAAGTGGAGGGACTCTGAATCCCATCATTGTTCCCCACTGGCTAGGGCTGATGGGAACTGGAATTCCAGCAACATATGGAAGAACACAAGTTGCCCACTCTCAGTTTAGGTCAGTGGTTCAACCCCTTGAGTTCCTCAGATATTCTTGGACTAAAACTCCCAGTGGAAGAACACAAGTTGCCCACTCTTAGTTTAGGTCACTGGTTCAACCCCTTGGTTTCCTCAGATCTTCTCGGACTAAAACTCCCAGAAGCCTTCACCAGTTGCTGTGCTGGCCAGGATTTCAAGAACATTTGGGGACCCAAGATTGGGAAGCACTGGTTTAGGTGAATACAATCCGTATGACTAATTTGTCCAAGACTGCATTTATGAGGTACATCAGTGGAATACCGCCGGAGGTCTACCCCATGAAAGCCTAGGTTGTGTCCTTTAACAAGGTACAGTGGTGCCTCGCAAGACAAGCATCAGTGGAATACCACCAGAGGTCTACCCCAGGAAAGCCTAGGTTGTGTCCTTTAACAAGTTACAGTGGTGCCTCACGAAATTAATCTATTCCGGGGTTAATGTTGTCTTGCGATATTTTATTTGCGTCTTGCAAGCTGCGGTTTCCCGTAGGAATGCACTGAAATTTAATTAATGCGTTCCTATGGATTTTTTTTAGTCACTTACCAGTTAGGGAGCTGGGGAATTTTTTAAAGTCACCAGTTAGGGAGCTGGGGAAGCACCATCAGAGGACTGGAGGGGGCCCCCTTCACCCAGATCGCTGCCTTAGGAGGTCTCCCGGGGCTTCCCTTGCACCATCAGAAGACTGGCGGGGATCCGTCCAAGCGGCGCTTGCGCCCTTTCTCCCTGCCTTCGGTAAGGCTCCGAATGGAAAAAGGCTTTCTTTTCCCCCCCTTTTTACGTTTGGAGGTTTGTTGAAGGCAGGGGAAAGGGGCGCGATCTTCAAAAATGGTGCTGGACAAGCCTCTGCAAGTGCATTCGTCATGCAAAAAACAGCCATAGGAAGAATCGTCTTGTGAGGCACCAAAAACCTCGCCGGACCCATTCGTCTAGCAAGTTTTTCATCTGGCGAGGCACTCGTCTTGCGAGGCACCACTGTATTCAGGTCTTCTCAGCTAGAAAGTGTGAGCCACTTTCCTATACTCCAGTAACAGAACTTCCCAGCAGAGGATTCTGAACATCTCAGCAAAGGGCAACTCTCAGAATTGCTTAGGTTGGGATCAAGATGAGCAGAGCGGTACCACACTATCTAGAATTCTGTAGTGCACCTACACAACAGGCACACACTGAAGGGTCACCTCAGGGGTTCTGTTCCCAAGAATCTCAGTAACAAGTGAGAAGTTATGGGCTCAGCATCGGCACTGTTTAATTACCATTATTATAATTACACTGTGGAAACCAAAACATCTCTTCATTTGAGCTTCACAACCGGTAAACCATTTGACATAATGCTCCCAAGGGGAGGGGGGGAAAGGCCTAACATTTTCATCTCCCACCCTCTGCTGAAGGAGACCTTCAAGCCACACCCCTCTCCACCTGGATCTCGCCACGCTCCAGTCCAGCTCAGGTGGAGGCCAGAAATCCGGAGAGGGTGTAGACCCGCAGCCCCGGCTTCTGGCTCCTCACGTGGTGCCAGAGGTAACGGGTCAAACGCTTGAAGCCGACTCCGCACGGGCAGCTGAAACGGGCCGGGCCAGGGTGGCAGGTGTCGTGTCTGGCCAAACCTTTGTGCCCTTTCAAGGACTTCCCGCAGGTGGCACAGATAAAGAGCGCTTCATCCAGGTGCTGGAGCTGGTGGCGCAGGAGGTGGAGGAGGCCGCGGAAGGGAGCCCCACACTCGCACAGGGAGCTCCGCCCTCGTCGCTTGGGCCCCTTCTGGTGGGTGCGGAGCTGGGACACGCGGCTGTAGCGCACCCCACAGTCGGGGCACTTGAAGCGCCCGACCCGGGTTTTGACCGCTGGCCTTCGA